TAGTGCCTGGCACATAGAATGTGCCCAAGACATGTCAGCCTGCATTGTTGCTGCTGTCCCCATTTCACAGACATGGAAACCGAGGTTGAAGTCACTTCTGAAGTTCACCCAGCAAGTAGTAAATGCTGGTGTCGGAATTTGGGCTCATTTTGTGCTCCTCTCTTCCCTCGGCTGTGATACCTACTTAATGGCTAAAGAATCATGTCTGATAACTGGGTACCCATACAGTGGAGGAGAAGATAGGAAGAAGTTCGAGAATGGTTCCCATCAAGGCTGTGCATCCATGGGCTGGTCCTCTGGATGTCCGTATCCTCACCCATAAAATAGATATAATAGGGGTTGCGGCATTGCTCTAAGGAATCATGGAAGTGATATAGGCTTCAAGTACATGCTCAGTAAACCTACATCCCCTTCTCCCTTCCTTTTCCCACATGTCACACTGCTAGTGGCTTTTAGGCCACCATTATTAGTCATGAGGAATTCTGAACTGGGAGCAGTTGCTGTGGACACTCGGACTGCCTTGCTGGGACCATCCTAGCTGTCATCCTGGACACCTGCCTGATACCTGCTTATCTTTAGAGCTCAGCTTTCGTCTTGAACTTGTCTCCAGCTTAGCTCCTGATAAATACCCAGATGGGCAGAGCCAGGCCTGGAGCCCCAGATTCCTCTGTAGACATTGCCCATCTGCAAATACTCTTCACTGTGTAAAGACTTTAGAAAAGGATATTTCAGGTGTCAATGCTGCTTTGTTTTTTACAGATTTCAACACCATATATTAATTGTTAAATCTTTCCCTGATGACTTTTTTTTTTTTTTTTTTTGAGAGAGGGTCTCACTCTGTCACCCAGGCTAGAGTGTGGTGGTGCAATCTTTACTTACTGCAACCTCTGCCTCCTGAACTCAAGAGATCCTCTCTCCTCAGTCCCCCAAATAGCTGGGACTACAGGCTACTACACACAACTAGTTTTTTTGTGTATCCTTTGTAGAATTGGGGTCTTGCCATGTTGTCCAGGCTATGACTTTTTAAAAACATCTTTTGGAAGAATAACATACCTGCAGAAGTATCCAGATCATAAAAGGACAGCCCAGTGAGTTTCCACTAGGCACGTATCCATGTAACCAGCACCCAAAGCAAAACACAGAACACTGCTTTCCCCCAGCACCCTAATAATGCTCCTTTCAGCACCCCCGCCCACCACACACACACATATACACAAGGCCATCAGTGCTGACTTCCAGCACATAGGTCAGTTTCATCTGCTTATGCACTTCATATAAATGGAGTAGTCTTGGGTGTTAGATTTCCTCCACTCAGCATTATGTTGATGAGCTTTATCCATGTTTTTTGCACTTAGCATTAGTTTGGTTATTTTTATATAGCACAGCATGAACATATTTTGTTATATGTATATATCATATTATATCCACTTTTCTGTTGATGAACATTTGGGTTGCGTCTTGGTTTGGACTACCATGACAAAGTACTGCAGACCGGGTGACTTAGAAATGACAAAAATTGTGCCTGTAATCCCAGCTACTGGGGAGGCTGAGGCAGGAGAATCACTTGAACCCGAGAGGCAGAGGTTGCAGTGAGCCAAGGTTGCAACATTCCACTCCAGCCTGAGTGACACAGTGAGACTCTGTCTCAAACAAAAAAAGAAAGAAAAAAGAAACAACAGAAATTTATTTCTCTCAGTTCCAAAGACTAAAAAGTCCAAGATCCAGTGCTAGCATGGGCAGGGCCATGTTTCAGACTGTTGGATTCTCCTTGTATCCTTACCAGGCAAAGAAAGAATGAGAGAACTGGCTGGAGTCTGTTTTAAAAGAGCACTAATCCTATTCATGAGGCTCTGCCAATGTGTGACCTAATTAGCTTCCAAAGCCCCACCTCCTAATACCATCACATTGGGATTAGGATTTCAACATATGGATTTGGGGACACAAACATTCAATCCATTGCAGGTTGGTTCTAGGTTGGGATTTCAATGGATAGGTCGCTGTTAACATTCTAGTGCATGTGTAGGGGTGAATATGAGAATTCATGTCTGTTGGGTACTTAGAGGAAGAATCACCGGTTATGGGTTTGTATTAGTCCGTTTTCACGCTGCTAATAAATACCTACCAGAGACTGGGTAATTTATAAAGAAAAGAGGTTTTATGGACTCACAGTTCCACATGGCTGGGGAGGCATCACAATTATTGTGGAAAGCAAAGGAGAAAGAAAGGCACATCTTGCATGGCAGCAGGCAAGAGAACTTGTGCAGGGGAACCCTCCTTTATTTTTTATTTATTTTTATTTTATTTTTATTTTTTAAGATGGAGTTTTCATGCTTATTGCCCAGGCTGGAGTGCAGTGGCATGATCTTGGCTCACTGCAACCTCCACCTCCCGGGTTCAAGTTATTCTCCTGTCTCAGCCTCCCAAGTAGCTGAGATTACAGGCGTGTGCCACCACACTTGGCTAATTTTGTATTTTTAGTAAAGATGGGGTTTCACCATGTTGGTCAGGCTGGTCTCAAACTCCTGAGCTCAGGTGATCTGCGTGCCTCAGCCTCCCAAAGTGCTCAGATTACAGGTGTGAGCCACTGCACCTGGCCGGAACCCTCCTTTATAAAACCATCAGATCTCAGTCTCATCAGTCATGAGACCTATTCACTACCAGGAGAACAGTATAGGGGAAACTGCCCCCATGATTCAGTTATCTCCACCTGGCCCCGCTCTTGATATGTGGGGATTATTACAATTCAAGGTGAGATTTGGGTGGGGACACAGAGCCAAACCATATCAGGGTTATTTGTATGTATATTTCATGTTGGTAGCTGTGCCAAACTTGTGCAGTAGTTTCCCCAGAAGCTCCTGAGGTCATACGGGAGTGAGAGAATCAAAGACGTCAGCAGCTGCTGAAGGGAAAGAGGATATAAGTGGGGAACGAAGACAAGGGGCGGATATCTGAAGCTTGAGACTTTCCTGCGGTTACTCTGAGCGGGAGACTCCGGAGAGTCTTGGAGCCTGTTGGCAGTGATGTGCTCTGCGGTCTGCAGTGGGGAGGGTATTTTCTGGGCTCTGGCCTGTGATAAGTGTAGGTGACTGTTCAGGAACAAAGTATCCAGGGGAGGGAATCCGCCCACGGTCTCGAATATTGAAATGTCAACATGGAGTAATTGGCTGCTCTGCCCACCCTTCCTCCACCCCTGCTCCAGCAGCTACAGCAAACGCCCTGCCTGGGACAGCAACCTGGGGGGATGTGGGGTCAGCCCTGACTCATTCTGGGCTGCCTCCTGCCAGCTGGCTGGGTGACCTCCTCGGACAGGTGAATCAGCCTCCCTGTGAGTCAGCTACTTGGGGACTCTCACCTTAAACAGATGGAGAAAAAAATGTTAGTCAAAGATCATGGGTGGCTATCAGTGGCATTTTAGATGAGCATACGGATGGATGGACAGATAGTTGTGATATGTGTATAGATATATCACTTATACACTTGTACAAGTGTATGTGTATCCGTTCACCATTTTATTGATCACTTACAACCTCATAATAGCCAGTGATCTCATGGAAATTTACCATGAAGAAATGTACGAGGCATAGAGAGGTGCCTACACCTTTACGTGCCTGGTTTCGTGTGATTCTCCTGACAACCCAGAAAGGCAGGAGCTGTTAGCCCCATTTTGCAGATAATAAAACTGAGGTTCAGAGAGGTTAATGCACTTTCCCAAGATGACACAACCACTAAATGACAGATCAGGATCTTAACCCCTTAGTCTTACGCTAGACCCCCATGCTCCTAACCACTGTGCTGTATTTCCTGCTGGGTGCCAAGGCCTGTATCCAACTCTTTATCTCATTCAGTCCTCATTTTCAACTACAAGATTAAGAAGTATTAATTTCATTTGCTGGATGAGGAAACTGAGGCCTACAAGGGTAAGGTAACTCACCTCAAGACATGCAGTAAGTAAGGAGCAGGGCTGGGATTCTAACTGAGATCCCTCTGATACCAGTGCTTTAGCCACAGAAAATAGAATCTCAGTAAAGCTCAGTACACAATGAAGGCTCAGTAAATACCAAATGAATGAACATAATGCTAGGCATATTTTAGCAATAACATCGTAGGTTAAAAGATAAAAATTCAAACTGTGATTTTGATGTAGATGAAAAATTTTCATAGTGACATTCTTCTTTTGGCCTACGTTCGATACTATGAGCCAGTCACAGTGCTAGGGGCTGTGAGAGCTATGATGAGTCTAAAATTCATTCATTCAGTGACAGCGCTTGTAGATGCCTGCTCTGTGCCTGCTGGGAATTGGGCTCAATGCGGAGGAACAGGACGGATGAGCATACAGGCGACTAAATGAGAAGGTGTTACTTTCACTGCATAATGTCGTTTTTCATCCTGTTGTTCATCTTAAACTACTGGTCCTCGAAATGAACTCAATGAGGCTGAAAGTAGTCTGAAAAACTCTTTACCTAGACAGGCGTCTTATTTAGGGGTGATATTATTGGTGTTTACACATCCCCATCCAAACAATTGACTGCATCGTTTGCTGACGATACTTAATACACATCAGCCCCCACTTTGCTGGTCTTTCATCACTGTCCTCACACACTGACTCCTGGCAAGTGCATGCAGCTGGCATGAATGGCCAACAGAATGCTGTCTGAGTGGTGTCTGAGGACCCAGAAGTTGTTGATTTATGTGCTGCTTTCCACCTGTGAGCCTCTGGGATGGACTGGATGTGGCAAACTCGTTTCTGGACTAGGCTGGACTCTGCAGATGTCCTTACCTGTCAGTCATGTTGGCCAAGTTTCTAAAGAATCTGCAGGAACTTCCTCCCAGATCTGCGTCCCGGAACCAGATCTAAAGTCCCGTCCTAGACTTCCTATCTCATAAGCACAAGAGTGGTGTGTCCACGTGTCTACTCAGTCATTTGTCACTTGTAGTAACTGTTGTGGGTCACCCTCTTCTGAACAACTGCCATTAATTTATCTTGTCCTTTTGCTTTTCAGCCTCTGTAAGGGACGGACACTCTATTCTGTTGTGAGGGACGCCAAAATCGTCTTAGATGTCAACAAAACCAGGCAGATTGCTCAAGAAATTGTGAAGGTACTGTCGGCTCTAAGGCCTCTTACCTAAATCTCAGAAGGACCCAGTTTCCCCAGAGAAACCTCCCCCAACCCCGGGCTCATAAGATTCACGGTTGGGTTTCAGACTACCAGTCTGGACTGAAAAGAAATTAGATTTGACCTGAAAAATGCCAGGCCATGTGTAAGAATTCAGCCTAGATATGATCTTTAGGGAGTATCCACCAATGTTTGGTTTCCATCTGGTGTCTCATCACCATGGTACTTGGACCTATGCAAGGACTGGGGGTCACATATAAGTTGTTCAGTCGTTTTGATTGGCTCCACCAACCTTTGAGTCCTTGAATTCCCGTAAGTGCAAACCATCTCTCTCTCTACTGCTGCTAGGGAAGCAGCAAATTGCTGGGTGTTGTTTTGGATTAAAACAAACAAGAACATCCTCTGTTTTCTGGCAGGTGCCTTATTAGTTGTACTCAAGCTTTTATTTCTCATTTGGAAGTGTTAGGGCTGAGCTATAAGAAGAAATAAAAGATGTGACTGCTCACAAAGGCAAACAAACAAACAAACAAACAAAAAACAAAAAAACCACCATGATTCTAGATGTTCGCCCTTGAACTCGACCTCCAATAGACTCTTCTTTGTGTTCTTGATGAGCAGTTATGAAACATCTCTTTAGGAATCAGTGCCTTCTGCAGCAGCATAGGTTAAGGTGGTCTGAGTATCTAGTCTTGCGGAAGAGTTAGTCTTTAAAGGGGAAGTAGATGAAAATGGTTGGTTGAATTCCTTTCCTTGGGGACTCTTGTTTCTTCTTCAGGAATCAGATGAGCAATTGGGGATGGCCTTTCTGTGGTCTGCAAGTGGCGATGGATTTGTGTCTTGGGGGCCCTGCCTGTTCCCACTTGCCATGCCTTCCCCGACCCTGACTCCGGGACCCACAGTCAGACCCCAGGCCCTGCCACTGCTGAGTGTGGCATCATTAGGGAGCCATATCTTCAGGACAAGGAACATGAACTCAAGCCAGGGTGGCAGTGAGCGCTTAGGTTTTTCTTTGGCAACTCTCTGTTTCCTTGTTTCTTACAGGGCATGGGTTACCTCCACGCCAAGGGAATCCTGCACAAGGACCTCAAGTCAAAGAACGTCTTCTACGACAATGGCAAAGTAGTCATCACAGACTTTGGACTCTTCAGCATTTCTGGAGTGCTGCAGGCTGGCAGGTGAGAGGTGGTGGGAGAGCACAGAGAGCTTCCTGAGAGATGATCAGGAGGTAGGAAATTAGTCCAAATGGCTTCAGTGACCTAGACTCAGGGTTGGGCCTGAGGCTGCTGAGCTGAGTGGGTCAGCTGCTCTACTGATGCAGGATGCCAAGGCCATGCTCTGTCTCCCTCTGGTGAGGCCAGGACCTTGCTCACCTGTCTTGTCTTTCTCTATGTGTGATTGGACACAGAGCATCCCCAGCTCTTTCAAAGCCCCTACCCTTGAATTTAACCGGAGGGCTCTCCTCTAACCCTGAGTATTCACCTGGAAGATGAGATCACCCAAGAGCCCTTGCTCATGGTTTTCTTGGGAATTCACTAATTTGAGTACAGTAAGAGTACAGTTAACGGCAAGGGGAGGCACCCGTGGCCTGACACTGCTCTGCCACTTATTAAGTGCAATGTCCATCAAGGCGAACGAGTTCTCTGAACTTTAGTTTCCTTGTCTGCAAGAAAAGTGGTAGACGTGATGATGCCTTCCTCAGTCAGTTCTTGTGAGGATAAAATGATGACACGTGTCAAGCAGCCACACAGTGCCGATGCACCTCAAAAGCTCCACAAAGGGTAGCTGCTGCTGAGTGGCTGTAATTAGTATTAATTTGCATATACCTCCCAGCATCACCCAGGAGAATCATTAACCTCGGTTAAGTAATTAACTCTCAGCCACTACGCACCCTAGAGCAAGCCGCATTGAGATGGCCATGGGAAAAATCGCTTGATCTCAAATAAACAACCCATAATTCGGAAAGTGTACCCTTGTGACTTTTAATATGGACTGTGCGCTCTCTCTCTCTCTCTCTCTCTCTCTCTCAATCTCTTCTCGCTCAATCTCATTTTAAACATGCAGTGGCATATTTTTTTTCTAATCCTGCATTTTATAATGAATCGTGCATCTTTCCAGAAAGCCCAGCGATTTCTCTCATTTTACTTCAGTTTCAGCGGCTTTTGAGAAACACTGATTTTTTTTTTTCAGGAATGCCCCAGGGACCCCTACAAAGTGAATCTTATTTGTGCTATATAATATCTTATAATCTGTTATAAGTTGTACCATCTGAAATTTGACAAAACTTCATGTAGCTGTTTCTGTGTAATGAGCACCAAACCAGAGCTTAAGTTTCTTTATCCAATTTTATGCCACCCAAGAAAGATTAACCATAGTCTGCAAAACTCTCTATAGTCCCTAAGATGAGGCAGTAAGTAGGCAGTAAATGTATAAATATATCAATAGGTGCTTGGAGAGAGTCCCTCAAGCGGGAACCCAAGAAGCCCAGGAGGGCAAGTTTGTGCACAATCCCTTCTTTTCTCTGACTCCCCAGCAGCAGTTAAGTTCCTGGTTCACTGGCAGGGAACTCATGCCCTTCCCAGTTTCCCAGTGTCCCAGGGGAACTGCAAGGAAGCAATGGTGGATGACTTCACTGTGAACCCGAGTATTTGCATCAAGACAAAGGGAGGCCCAGTAAGAGTTTTCTCTAACTTGTTTCTGGGCTCTTTTATAGAAAGCAGACATTCTTCCCTCCTGGTGGCATGTCCAGACATCTCCCTGTCTCCTCACGAGTGGCTTCTCCCTGAGGTAGAGGAAAGGGATACAGGACCTCTGATTTTCTTCCTGTAGACTCAGTTTTCTGAAGCCACAAGGAGAAGAGGAAGTAAAAGAAATGGAATGGAATGCCTTGGGCATCCCTTCCTTTAGCTCATTCATGGAGACCCAGTGTCAACCAGGAAGTTAGTTTAACCAAGTCAAGGACAAGGTGACTTCTGGTCTCCTTGTCCAGACAGCAGCCCCTCCCACCCCTGCTCCAGCCAGGATTTCAACACAAACCCAGGGAGTGCCCTCAGCAACATCTCCCAACAAGAAGTTCACATTTCCTGGCCACCCACAAGTAGCCATCGATGACTTCTTGTGCTTTTATCCTTGTTCTGGTTACATATTATTGTGCAATGAGTCACCTCAAAACTTAGTGGCTTAAAATAAGTTATTGTCATCCCTCATGGTTCTGTGGGTTGACTAGGCTCAGCTGAGCTCTTGTGCTCAGTTTATCCTTCCTGTAGGTGCAATCGGATGGGGGCTGAAGTTGGAGACAACTGAAGGCTTCCTCATTCACACAGCTGGACTGGCCTGGCTGAAACATCTGGAGGACTGATGGGGTTCTCTCATCCCCATGCTTTTTCCTCTTCATACAGCCTCTCTGCATGACTGCATTGGGCTTCCTCACACCATGGCGGTCTCAGGGTAACCAAACTTCTTATGTAGCAACTGAGTTCTACCAAAGCAAGCATGTTGCAAACGATGACAGGGAGGTGGAACTCTGGAGTGCCCCATGAATCCCGGAACCATTCCCGGGTAGTAGATTTGTCTCAGTATTTATGAATACCTCCAGTGTAGTTCTGGGGATCCACAAGGTCCCCTGCAGCGGTCCAGGTCAGTTTACTCCCTCATGTTTATGAAAAGGTATCTCCAGGAACTGCCCCCATTGCCGCCTAGAGCCCCCAGTGCAGCAACCAGAAACCAGAAACCTTGAACAAGGGGCATCTTTGGCCCTGAACCACAGCCTGGGGGCTGAATTATAGGAGTGGAGACAGAAGGGAGCTGGCCAGGTTTTGGGTATTGCAGGAAGCAGGGGAGGTCAACTCTCAGAAGATAGGCCTGGAAGTTCCCTCTTTCATTACTCACTCAGCCAGTCACTAAATATTTAGGGAGTGCATGTATTCGTCAGCTGGGGCTGCTGTAACACAATACCAGACACTGGGGCTTAAACAACAGACATTTATTTTCTCACAGTTCTGGAGGCTGAAAGTCCAAGATCAAGGTCCTGGCAAATTTAGCTTCTAGTGAGGGCTCTTTTCCCGGCTTGTGGACAGCCACCTTCTTGCTGTGTCCTCATATGACCTCTTCTCTGCACCCTGAAAGAGAAAGAGCAGTCTCTGATGTCTTTCGGTGTTTCAGCATTAATAACACATGACTTGCTCCTATATCTACACAAAAGACAAAATGCAGCATGTCCTGTGCTGGAAACTACTACTCAAACTCACTAGCAAACTCTTGAGTCAGCAGAGTTGAATGAGCTCTTGTTTCTAGAAGCAGGGACACCCACAGAGGTTGAAGGCTCTATCTGTTGCTTACTAACTATGGAACCTTGAGCAGACCCAAATTTCTATTTTCCCATCTGTAAAATGGGCATATTAATTTGTACTTAATATAATAAGATCGGTGTCCTATAAGAAAATGGTTTTCTGTTCTTGTATCAGTTTGCTAAGAATGATGGTTTCCAGATTCATCCATGTCACTATGAAGGACACGAACTCATCATTTTTAACTTTGACCATTTCCTTATTTTGTATAAATTAGAACAACGATTCTCAACCAGGGCGATTTTCCCCCAGGGGACATTTGATGATGTCTGAAGATGTTTTTAGTTGTCATGATTGGGGGAAGAGTAGGTGCTAATGGCATCTAGTGAGTAGAGACCAAGGATGCTGCTAAATGCCCAGGACACCCCCACCCAGCACAACAAAGAACGCCTGGACCCAAATGTCAATAGTGCCAAGATTGAGAAGTCCTAAATTAGAACACATTTAATGGCGTCTGCCTGGCCACATTGCTTTCTGTTGCATGCATGGCCATCTGCTCCTAGCCTGGCGATGCAGGAGGTAGATGGGTGGCTGGCATCCCAGGTGGGATACCTGTGGCAAGCCACCATCCAAATGCAATGAAGAGCTGTGACTGCAACAGTGGCCCAGCTTTGCTTCCTTACCTACAGTCTCTGTTCTGGGTTCTACAAAAAGTTGAGTATATTCAAATGGATGCTACCTTCGTGTGTAGGGTGGAGGGGGAATGAAAGGGATCTTAAAGAACTGCATGTATGGGACACAGCCAACCCCTACCCAGCTAGTGAATGTCACTGCAGCACTGGAACCCTGAGTCGCAAACTCTTGGAGCCTCATTCAGGGATCTTTCCTCCACCCAATGTTTCTAAAGGTGCGATCTGCAAGTTGATTTAGGGGAGGACATGAACAAACATTTTCTTTTTTTTGGCTATTTTTTTTTTAAATTGTAATTTAGGTTCTGGGGTACATGTGCAGATCATGCAGGATTGTTGCATAGGTACATACATAGCAAGGTGGTTTGCTGCCTTCATCCCCCCCATCACCTATATCTGGTTATTTCTCCCCTCCTTATCCTTCCCCACCCTCCCCACTCCTGCTGTCCCTCCCCTAGCCCCACCTTACTGACCGCAGTGTGTGATGCTCCCCTCCCTGTGTCCATGTGTTCTAATTGTTCAACACCCACCTATGAGTGTGATAACGTAGTGTTTGGTTTTCTGTTCTTTTATCAGTTTGCTAAGAATGATGGTTTCCAGATTCATCCATGTCACTATGAAGGACACAAACTCATTATTTTTAATGGCTGTGTAGTATTCTATGGTGTAAATGTGCCACATTTTCTTTATCTAGTCTGTCACTGATGGACACTTGGGCTCGTTCTAGGTCTTTGCTATTGTGAAGAGTGCCACAATGAACATACGTGTGCATGTGTCTTTATAATACAACAATATGTAATTCTTTGGGTATATGTCCAGTAATGGAATTTCTGGGTCAAAGGTATTTCTGCTTCTAGGTCCTTGAGGAATCGCCACACTGTCTTCCACAATGGTTGAATTAATTTGTCTTCCACAATGGTTGAACTAATTTACACTCCCACCAACAGTGTGAGAGTGTTCCTTTTTCTCCGCATCCTCTCCAGCATCTGTTGTCTCCAGATTTTTTAATGATCGCCATTCTAACTGGTGTGAGATGGTATCTCAATGTGGTTTTGATTTGCATTTCTCTAATGACCAGTGATAATGAGCATTTTTTCATATGTTTGTTGGCCTCATCGATGTCTTCTTTTGCAAAGTGTCTTGAACAAACATTTTCTATCTTAATTTTAATGTGTATTAGAAAATCACTAGTCTCCATTTATGGCCACACTAAAGAGTGACCTATTCAAATAAATTTAAGTTAAAAATGCATTTCTTAGACTCTAATAATCTAGAACAGTGTTATTCAATTTGGTGGCCACCAGCCAGATGTGGCTACATAAATTTAACTTTAATTAAAATGAAAAGTTAAGGGCTGGGAGCAGTGGCTCATGCCTGTAATCTCAGTGGTTTGGGAGGCTGAGACTGGAGGATCCCTTGAGGCTAGGAATTTGAAACCAGCCTGGGCAACACAGCAAGCTCATATAGCAAGACTACATCTCTACAAAAAATAAAATAAAATTAGCAGGGTGTAGTTGCTCATGCCTGTAATCCCAGCCACTTTGTAGGCTGAAAATGGGAGGATCGCTTGAGCCCAGGAGCTCCAGGCTGCCATGAGCTATGATCTCCCCTCTGCACTTCAGCTTGGGTGACAGGCTGTCTCAGCAGACCCTGTCTCTAAAATAAAAAAAAATAATAATAAACATTCAGTTCTTCAATTGTAAGCCCCATTTCAAGTGCTCAGTAGTCACAGTGGTTAGTGGCTGACACATGGATCATATAAAGGAAATTTCTGTCATAATGGTAAGTTCTATTGCATAATGCTGCTCTTGAAGGTGTTTAGATACGGCAACAATCACGATTATGGGATATGAATGAGTACATTTGAAGGAGCAGCATGTCACATCTTATACATCTCAGAAACCCTCCCTGGAAGAATCTAGCCAGCCCAAGGTCCCCACAAAGACCTTCCTGCTGGAGGCTGTCATCCTGCATGACTTCAGTTTTGATGATTCAAGATATGTACCTCCCTCCCTGTGACTACTCCCTTCCCCTGTGTTAAAGAGCCAGTTCCTAGGAGTCTTGAGTCAGTGAAGATCTCACAGCGGGTCTGCTTAGATTTCAGTCCCACATGGAAAGCTCTGCCTTGCTAAGGACTTCCAGTGCAAGAAGGGAGCCAGCCTCCTTCCACATCTAAGAATTTATCCTAAGGAATAAGTTAATGTGGGTGAAGGGAGATATTCCCAGTATCTACCCAAAGATGTTCATGGCAGCATTTTTCATAATGGTGGAAGGGAACTGCCCGCCGAAGCCCCATCAGCAAGGGTTTGGTTATATACACTGATACATAGGACGGGATGATGTGTTCCAATTACACTGGTGTTCTTTAGGGTTCTGGAACACCCTGAATGGGGCCAATGTTGGATCTTTGTCCTAGCATCTCCTCTGCCTAGAATATTCTCCTTGGTCATGTAGCTGGATGCTTTATGTCATGTAGATCTTAGGTCACAGTTTACCTACAGTAAGGTCTGTCATATCTTGGATACATCGTCTTTTAATTATTTGTACTTATCACAATCTTTAGTTTTTCCTCCTCATTGAATTCATTTGTTGTCTCCTTTCCCTACCAAAGTGCAAGCTCCAGGAGGGAAGGGACCTTGTTGGTCTTGTTCCATGCCAAGCACAAAACCTAGGCATCATAGGTGATGACAAAACACAGTGGATTATCATTATTTGTGGGTTCACTGAAATGTCTTTATCATCCCCAAAATCAGCACGCACAGCACTTTCCCAGTTATTCAGGGACATGCAGAGTGGGGAAAACTTTGAGTTGCCTGATGCACGTGTTCCCAGCTTAGGTCAAACAAGAGGATGCTCAGCCTCCTTGTTTCAGCCTCCTACAGAGAACTCTGGAGGACGGAGGTTGAGACAGAGTGGGCAGCACCAGGTAGCATAAGAAGCTGTAGCTCCAGGGCCAGTTGGATGAGATTTGTATCCCAACTCTGGCACCTGTTAGTAGGGCTGCCTCAAACAAGTCACTTCACACTTCTGAGCCCCATAGTCTATTACGTAAAATAAAACAGAATCTCTTAGGATAAGTTGTTTTTAGGAGTTAAAATTATAAACTGTGTGAGGGATATGTGCATGTGCACTATTTCCCCAGGAGCAATGATTCAGTGTTCTGCTCATTCCATGTTCCAGTGACTTTGTAGAACATAATGGCCATGAATAACAAGAATTCACAATGTCATTGAATGAAGATGGGCAAGAAGGTGGGTACCTCAGAGGCAACGGAACGTGATGATGGTTTGTGGCCTGAATGTTTCTTTAGAGCAGGCTTCCCTGCACCTCCTACTGGGTCTCAGACTCCAGTAGATGGTCAGGCAGTAGTCAATGGGGGAAGCAAGAAGGCCAGCAGAGATGGCTCCAGGGACACGGGGTCAGTGCCATGGGGACTGGTCCTCCCTGGGCTGTGAGACGGAGCTCATCCTGTGCTTTGCTTCTCCAGGCGGGAGGACAAACTGCGCATCCAGAATGGTTGGCTGTGCCACCTGGCACCGGAGATCATCCGCCAGCTGTCCCCCGACACAGAGGAGGATAAGCTCCCCTTCTCCAAACACTCTGATGTCTTTGCCCTTGGGTAAGTGGACCCTGCCCTGGCCATTGAGAGCCACAGCCTGGGCAGAGGGGCACTGATCACTGATCGAGTCTTTCAATGCTTTTGGAAGGGCCAGGGTGTACCTGTCTACAAGGCCAAGGTGGCAGGATTTTTGGGTGAAAATGGAGGAATCTGAGTAGGATATAGTAGAAAGAATGACCCAAACAAACCTGCGTGCCTGGTTTCTAACGGCTTATGTGGACGTAACAAGTTACCCAACTCATTTACTTATTCAATAGCTGTTTGTTGGCTGTCTGCTCTGTGCTAGGATTGTAGCATGTTCAGGGGATACAAGATTCAGTCTTGTATCAGTTATTACTACATAACAAATGACCCCAAAACTTAGCCACTTGAAGCATTTTTATCTCAAGTTTCTGTGGTCAGGAATTTGGGAGTGGCTTGGCTGAGTGGTTCTGAGTGGGCTTTTATGAAGTTGCAGTGAAGATGTTGGCTGGGGCTGTGGTCTCATCTGCAGGCTCAGTGGGATGCAGATACATTTCCATGGTGGCCCACTCACGGGGCTGTTGGTTGAGGCCTCACTTCCTCAACCCTTGGGCCTATCTATAGGCTGCTTAAATGACTTCACGACATGGCGGCTACAAGCCCCATTGTCATTAATGATCTAGTCTCAGAAATTGACTTATCATCACTTCTGTCATATTCTGTTTGTTAAAAGCAAATTGCTAAATCTAGTCTATACCTAAGGGGAAGAGAATTAAGCTCTATCTTGTACACAATGGAGTAGCAAATAATTTATGAACATATTTAAAACCACGAGAAGCCCCTACTCTGTCTTTCTAGTGGAAGGCAGATAAAGAAACATCCAATGTTAGCAAAGTATGATAAATGCTATTCTGAGAATAAACACAGGACTGTGGGAATTAAAAAGGAATCAAATCCAATTTGGGAGGGCAGGGAGGGCTCCCAGGAGATGATAATCCTGAGCCTAAGTTAAAGGTTGAGTACAAGGGCAGGGTGAGGCATTCCAGATCAAAAGAATGTGCAAAAAGGTGCAAAAATGAAAGAGAGTACTTTTCCCACATGAAAGAATATATAGAAGGGTTGGGAGAGTAAAGGGAGCTGATGAATGAAGAGTCAGAAAAAAAATTAGGCTGAGTGTGGTGAGATAAGAGACTAGACTAGAAGGGGAAGCATGGTCAATCCTGCAAGGATTCAAATGTTGAGTTAGGTGTTTTCATTTCATGTTCAGTGTACTAAGGAGCCATTGATGGTTATTAAGCTCTGGAGGTGAGGGGAGTGACATAATCCTAATTTGCGTTTTAGATCAATCAAATCTCTCTGGCTGCTGTGTAGAGAATGAAATAAAGAAAGAGTGGAGGAAGGCTGGGTGTCCAATACACAGGGAAATGCTGGCAGCCTTCACTGAATCAGAGCCTGTGGGTATGAAAGCTGAGAATGGACATTGGAAGCACACATAGGAGGTGGAAGCAATAGAGCTTAATCATGGATTGAGTGTGGGTGGTGCCTACGTAGCTGCCTTAAGTAACCAGGTGGAGAGTGGCGTCTTCCATTAAGGTGGAGACCATGGAGGTGCAGCAGGGTTCGGGTATGCTGGAAAGGCAGAGGTCAGGTTTGGACACAGTGAGTTTGAGCTGTCTTGGAGATGACAAATGGGACCACCAAAACACAGCTGCCTCTACACGTCTACTATAGAGAAAAAGAGTTTAGGATTTGTCAGCAAATAGGTAACTGCAGGCATAGACAGAATGAGGAGTCTTTGAAAGTACAGAAGAAGAAGAAGGACCCATGACACAGCCCCAGAATGCAGGGCAGCGTGCCCTGAGAAGGTACAGCCAAAAAAGCTTCTAGGCTCCCATGGCCATGCAAATCCTTGCCTAACCTTGTCCACAGGGTGGTTGCAAGGGCTGGGGAGAAAACACTGGGGAAGCTGTTTGGGAAAGTTGGAGCCCTGCAGATGAGTACAATTAGACTTAGTACCACTGAGAGATGTTACAGAGACACTTATCCTTGGATAAGGAACCCCACTGCGTCTTCACTGAAAAACTCCAAGGAGACGTTTCCCGAAAGATCAGAATTCTCAACATCTGTTGCTTGGGCCCCTTTAGAAGATGTCAGTTGGCCTGATTAGTTTATGCCCAAATCTTTATCTAGTTAGATATTGTTATCTGAAACCAAATTGCAATAATTAAGTTGGTATAGTTTAGTGCAAATTTAGCAAAGGAAAAAAAAATGTGATTAACAAAATGTACCAGGGTAATTGGTTTTCTGCTGGAGTTTTCATCTTCAGCAATTATTTTTTCTTAAAGTGAGTTTCTCTTGAAAGTTGGATTTAAAAGGAAGTTTTAATGAGGCTTTTATTTCTGACACTGCTGAATTCCGAAGGACCCGGCGCTCTGGGTTTCCTGCCAATTAGGTGCATCCTGTTGCTTGGGAACCTCATGCTCAGAAATGACTTAGAACAAAAATGAACTTTTTAAAGAGTATTGAGCACTATGTTAAGCCTTTTATGTTTACTGTCTCACAGAACTTTTATAAGCACCCTTTGAAGCAGATACCATGTTGTTCCCAATTGACAGATGAGAAAACTGAGGCTTCAAATGGCTGAGTGACATGCCTTACAGTGACTAATGATGGTGCTGAGATTCACCTGGAATATCCCGTACTCTAGAGTTAGGGCTTTTAACCATGGAGCCCTAATGGGTTTGGGATTTATTTCACCACTCAAAGCACTATTTCTCTCAACTACAAATCAAGGATAATAAACCCATTGGAGTGTTCTAAGAATTGAGTGAGAAAACATTTGTAAGGTACCCAGCACAGGGAAGAACTCCTCAGAACACCCTTCCCCCTTTCACATGAGTGGTGGATGGGTCTGTTTATGCCTCCTTCACCAGACTCCAGTCACCAGCTACAAGCTTGCACCTCCCAAATTATGCACTTTCCCGATGACAAAGGACTCTTAAATAGGATGGAGTCTAAACTTCCTAGAATAGCACGTTGGCCAGTGGCATAATCCTGGAGTCAGATGGACTAAGTTCAACTTCTGGCTGCCCTTCTTGTTTGTTGTATTACCTTGGGAAAGACACGTAACCTTTTTGGACTTCAGTTTCCTCATCCATGAAAGGGGGATAATGTTAATAATAATGCCTCCTGTTTTAAAGTGTAGGGTTTGTTATTATTCAGGTAGCATGAGGCCAACAGATCAGGAAACAGTTGCCATTGAAAAGATGGTTTGTTACTCACAGTTCTAGAGTGGGGCATGCCACACCATGCAATGTCCACAGGGGGCAGCACCAGGGTGGGTCTGGAGGCAGAGGAAATGGTTGGAAAACATTGGGAAGAGCCTTTATTGTGGTTTCCTTGGGAAGGAGCAGGGGAGGCAGGGTAAGAAGGTTTAGGATTCGCTTGTTTGAATAATTTCAGCGGGCTCTGGCCTGTAGGAATGGGGAATATTGGCCCAGAGCTTGAAAGCCCAATTAAAGAGATAGTTGGTCATGTAAGTATGAGCTCTGGATTATTTGGTTTGCCTGTGAAAGGTGCGCTCACAGGTGAGCCCTTCAGTATCTCCAGGAATTGGCTGTTCCTGGAAGGGGAAGACCCTACAGGTTCAGCAAAGCCCCGAGTAGTCAAAGCATCAGAATAAAAAGACATGTTTAATAGATCTCCCTCAGCAAAAAACTTAGAATAAATAGTGTCTAGTGCAGAGTAAAAACTCAATCAACATTATTATTTATTGTGATAACTATGATGTTCTAGCACCTTCTCTTGAGAGCTTTCTGACCATCTAATTCGACATCCCAACACTTGAGCATCACCACCTGTTCCCCATCCCAGAGGTATGGGGATGTCAGGCAGAAGGAAGGAGTAACTAAGAAGTGAAACCCTAATAACAGCCCATTTGACACAGTGCTCTGATCAGTGAAAAGGACAGCAGAGTGCTTTGTGTTCTTTAAAGCAAACTTACATGAATTATCTTAGAGTGGAGGAAAGATCATTTTCTAGGATTGTTTCAGGTATTTCTTAAGTTGGGGAATCTTGTGCTGAAAGCACTGACACCTGTCCCCATGGTACAGCTCAGTAACACCCCAGCATCCTGTTTCATCCACTGGAGTCCTCACTGCTGTTCACACTTCACAGCATCACTTATGCACCACCTGACTCATCACCCCATCCAAGGCACATGCTACTCATTGGAGCAATCCTTTCTCCGTTAATTGCAGTGTCATGATTTATGAAACAGAAGATAATGTAGTAAATATCTAGAATAATCCTAGCCTGGAGTTGATCTGGCATTCAGAGTCCCAGATGAACATCCTTTCACTGCAGTGTTATCATTATTCTCATTTACCAGGTAAGAAAACTTGCACTCAGAGAAGTGAAGTGACCTACCCAGGAAACCTACCCTATTATACTACCAGTATAATGGAATCAGGACTTGAACCCAAGTCCATGTGAACCCAAGTCACTCCCAAATCTCTTTTTTTCTTTCCACCATTCCACAGGATGGTTTATATTTAGGAAAAAAAAAGTATAAAAGAAAAAAATTCTCATCTGTCACCAAGAGTTATTGTTAACATTTTTCTATGCTCTACTGTATTCTCTTGTTCATACCTCTATCGTGGTTTTTAAAAGAGCAATCTCAAGCCTTACATACAGTCTCATATCCTGCTTTTTAGGATTGTATATTGAGCATTTTTATGTCAGCAAAATTTCTTTGAAATATTTTAATAATAATACAGAATTTCATTTTATTTTGTGGATTTGCCATAATATATCTAACTAATTCCTGTTACTGGACAATTGTGTTATTCCTACTTTTTTCAATATTATATCTAATGCTCTAGAGAATATAATTATAAATAAATTTTTGTATCCCTAATTATTTATTTGCAATGATATCCTAGATTCATTGCAAGTAGAATCAGGGACAGAGATCGTAACCACATTATATTTAACTGTTCATTAGAAGGTATCCTGAGATAAATATGACTTCTAAGACATTAAGAAAGCTTTCGTGTGTCCCACGTGGCAAAATACCAACCCCATGGGGAAGAAACTGGAGAGGAGAATGGGCGCCAGGAGGCTGGCTGGGTGGGTGTGGGTACAGGGATGCAAGTGACACACCACACCAACACCACTTTAACAACGTCTGCCAACAGCACAATCTGGTATGAACTCCATGCCAGGGAGTGGCCTTTCAAGACCCAACCAGCAGAGGCAATAATCTGGCAAATGGGCACAGGCATGAAACCCAACCTCAGCCAGATCGGCATGGGAAAAGAAATCTCGGTAAGTCCCAAGATAGGGCCAGACCTGGGAGATGAGGGGAGACACAAACATAGTCATGGGCCTTCTTTTTATTATGTGTTAAGGTTACAAACGCTTTCCCATAGGGTGACCAAAAAAAATATGCATTTCAACCTTGTCAGGTAGAAGTTTGAAGCTTAGAAGGCAAGGTTGCTGCACTGTGCCTGCAATTTCAGGTACCTGCCACCAGGGGCACAGTAACACGTGGTCAGGTTTTTCCTAACTATGGATTGCTGAGTTAGGGAGAACCTTTTGAAGACATTAATTTAAAAATCACAAATATTAATGTTCTAATTTCATTTGCATCTACATGATAATTTTAAGGCATTATCTAACTCAGAACAAGACATACAGAAACAGAGAAGCCTGGGTATATATTAATATTAACAATCTTCCTCTAAAACACAGCAGGAAGAATCCTCCTTTGATCAGAAGACAGATAAGTCAGAGAAGGAGTAATTACCTTGTGTGTTTTTAAGAATTACATGCACCTAGGTGATGAAGAAATTACTAAAAGTAACTTTTCTCCTCTGACTTTGAAGGCCTCTTATAGTATTGAGATATGGATGGATGCCCCAGGATTCCCTTTTATCCCTCCTCTTAAGAAAATGTCAAGAAACTCTTTGGGGAGTGTTACTGATCCTAGACCTTCTACAATAGAGCTTACCTAGCTGTTATTTGGGCTCAGAAAGTAGATGGGAAGAAGGATGGATGGATGGATGGATGGATGGATGGATGGATGGATGGATGATGGAAGAATATGAAAATGGGGCAGATGAGTGGACAGATGGGCTGACCCAATGAGATGCCAAAGAGTAATCAAGAAGTCACCTTTTTACGTGCAATCACCACACATTGGTTTCTTTTAGGACATTCTTCTCTTCTGCTGGGCCTTTGAACAAGAAGAGAGACCTACCTTCACCAAGCTCATGGACATGCTGGAGAAACTGCCAAAGCGAAACCGCCGCCTGTCTCACCCCGGACATTTCTGGAAGTCTGCAGAGTAGGTTTCCTCCCTTAGCATCTCTCCCCACTGCCTTGTCCTCTGGCCTTTGTTACCTTTTTGATCCTCTCTGCACCTTTTTTGCTCCTCCTCCGACAAGGTCCTATCCATGTGCCCCGCTTCATCAACCACATTCCCTGCAAGGTTTCTGTTCAATGGAGTCTGTTTTGGGGTTTGGGTCCTGGAGTCTGTCATATGGGGTCTTGGTTTCAGCAGCTACCCTGGGTTTCTCATTTCTTATATCTTCCTGATGAAGATTGATGCCCCGATGAGTCTGAGCATCATGCAGTGAGGTAGTGTCTGAACCTGCCAAGCCCCCCTATGGCAGGTATTCAGAGTGCCCTTCCACGAAGCCCTGCTTTCAGGAACTCTTCCTTCTGAGCCCGCAGCTTGCCCCTGTCATGGCAGATCACAGCTTCCAGCATTTTCTATTGCATGAACACTAGAGCAGGAAAGGCTCTCAGGTTCTTAGCAGAAGTATCTCTCTGCTAAGTAACCTCTCATAAGAGGTTCCAGACCGTGCTCCTCCCCCTTCTTTTTGGCTGGAGATCGGTAGTTCTATCTGAGATAATGAGTGTGGCATCTCGTTCTGGGACTTCCTCGCCAGCCCCAGCTTCCGTGACTAAGCTCTCTAGAACGTAAGGGGGAGACAGGTGCAGATGAGGCTACTGAGGGCTCCCCATGGCTCTGCCAGTTGCTCCCAGGTATGCCTGGTTGTACACACTCACACAGACACTCTCAATTACTCACACACATGCAGACACAGGAACAGTACCTAAAAACGTACCTCTATACAAATTCATCCACACACAGCTGCACTCAGATCTATACACACACACACATCCATACCCAAGAACGTTCCATGAACGCACACCCCTTCACCGAAGGCTGTGTATGTAGGCAGACTCAGGCACATGCACAGGTACACAATCCCATCGCATGGTACATGAAGACGTGTATATACACACTTGCAAGGCAGTGCCCACAGATACAGATACCCCCACCTGTGTGCGTGGTGTGCCATAGCCATTGTCAGTCTTCCCATGAAGATCCCCAAGGCAGCGTCTTGAAAAGCAGATGTCCCCAGGGGCTGTGGACATTAGGAGGCTCTTTTTTACTCCCTTTCCCTGCCTTTTTTTTTTTTTTGGTGGTTTATAATTGTTTGTTCTTTTTTTTTTTTGATTGCACTTTAGTTTCTGGGGTACATGTGCAGAATATGCAGGATTGTTGCATAGGTACATACATGGCAATGCGGTTTGCTGCCTCCATCCCCCTGTATCACCTGTATCTGGCATTTATCCCGATGTTATCCCTCCCCAACCTCCCTATGCCCTGCTGTCCCTTCCCTATTCCCCCACTCCACAGACCTCAGTGTGTGAGGCTCCCTCTACCCTGTGTCCATGTGTTCTCATTGTTCAACACCCGCCTATGAGTGAGAACATGCGGTGTTTGATTTTCTGTTCTTGTGTCAGTTTGCTGAGAGTGATGGCTTCCAATCCCCTGCCATTTGAGCTTGCTGAACCTGGAGGGTGGAATCTCTTCTTCCCCCAGGGGCTTATCCTTTCCCCAGACCAGTGGAAGGAGCATCTAGAAGGACCGATCTAGATTGGAATTCCCACTCCACTGCATGATAGCTGTGTGGCCTTGGGTACGTCACTTGGCCTCTCTGAGCTGCAGTTTCGTGCTCTGGAAGGTGAGGGCAGTGAAACTGCTCTAGCAGAAGTGCTGTCCCATGTGGCCACAGGTAGGGCACCTGGTTAGCAGGTGCCTCCTACGTAGCAGGTACTCACTGTAGCAGGCACTCGGCTGCCATTGTCTGCCAGGAGGGACAACGAGCCCTATTCTGGCAGCCTGGCAGGATTTACAATGCATTGGCTATGAAAACAGACAGAAAGAAGCTTTAACAAGCAAAAGCTCTGCCCACCTGAAGGAGTGCTGGCAGATTAGAGAATTAATGTTGGAACTCCAGGCGGGATCCAGCAGTGCCTGGTGTTGCAAAACTCTAGGGTCACAAACCGGTGACCTCTGCTCTCCTAGAGGCCAGAGAAGAGAGGATAGGAGTTCAACTGAAGAGAGTGATTTAAAGTGTACTAGTTGAAGGGAAAGGCCGGAGGCTTCACTTTATACATTTTACTGTGGAGTTGGGCTGAAAACAAAACAAAACAAAAAAGCAGAGGACCAGAAACTTGTGGTCTAGCAGAATGGGATGTTAGGTTCAATGGAATTTTCCATTCATTCCCTCTTCCATTCATTCTTTTTTTTTTTTTTTTTTTGTTCAGCCTGTGTGTACTGAGCATCTTTTATGTGTTAGACACTGTTCTAAGAGTGAGAATACAGTGCTGAACAAAATAAATGAGTTCCTCTGGCTGCAGTGGACATCAAGGTCTGCTCATAGCAGGAGGCTATGGTGTGGGTCCCAGTCCCACCCCCTCTTCCTGCATCTCTAGCTGTTACGGAGCTTCATCCCAACCCCACACACTGGATGACTGACCACTCCTAGTCCTTGCCCAAGTGGGAAAAGTTCTGGGTTCAAATATTCTGACCCCACTGCTTCCTGGCAGTGTGTCCTTGGGCAAAACACCTAACCTCTCTAAGCCTCAGTGTTTTCATCTGTGAAATTGTATGATTTCATCATAGAAGTTCATGTCGGATTACTTTCATCTGTGAAAATATTCGTAGCCTATATTGCAGGCTCATCTCAGGCTTCAGTGAGATCAGGTATGTGTGGTACTTGGCACAGAACCCAGCACATAGTAAGACCTCAGTAAGCAGAAATCTCTTCCACTTCTTGCAGAAGACAGGAGCAGTTCATCTCAAGCCATCTGGCCCTCTGAGAGGGTGCTCATTCACGACAGATGACATCATCACGTCCTTGTGATGCCTCACCACTCTCTTCCTTCTCTCCCCACTCTAGGCTGTGACCTTTGGACTCCGGGATGGCACTCAGCTGCCTGGGCTCCCGTCACCTGTCCCTCCCTGCTCTGTCCTCTGCCAGCTCCAGAGGCCAGAGACTCAGCATCAGAGGGCACTGACCCTGACCGACCTGGGAGCACTGGATGACTGCCCGGCAGCCTCCCTGCACCTCAGACTTGAGCACTTTTCCTCGGGCAGGGTTGGGGACCCCCGAGCTAGGACTGAACCGGACCAGCCAGGGTGATGCGGTATTGATCAGTACGGCCTGGGGAACAGCACAAACAGGAGCACTGCTGGCTGCACGTGGTGCCTTTGGGCTGTGGGACTAGGACAGGAGGCCCCATGTGGGCGAGCTCACAGACCGGGCTATGTGTGTGTGTGTCTGTGTGTATGACACTGTTCACTCTCGTTTCACCTTGACAAGCAAGAGCCAGACTGTCCCAGCGATGGGGCATCCCTCAGTTGTTCTGTCTGTGTGGTGGGTTCCAGCTGTGCGATCTGGGAAGGTAAGAGGCGGGTACAGAGCCAAGCGCCAGCTTAGTCAAGGCTACTGAGCCAAGATCGAGTAGGGAAGGCTGGGGGTAGCTGAGCTTGTTCCTTTGGAAATATATGCTTTCAGACACCGCAAGCCAAACCTGTCGTGGCGTGTGGCACCTTTGCATAGGGCTCCGAAGTACAGTAGGAAACTTAGAACGTCTTTTGAGTTCTGGGTCTCTCTGGGGGACCTGTTCCCCCAGTTTTGCCTCACTGCCCCCACCTCCTTGCCATTCGGAAAACCAAGATGACTTCTGGGGGCTCCTTAGAGCTCACAGTCATTCAGGGCACCCCCTGAAGTCTGGGCCCTGAGAATCGGACTCTGGGCAGGGAGTTCTAGGACATTCCTTTTCTTCCTTCTGCTCTACTCCTGATATCAGTGAAGCTTATCCCCCCACCTTGGTAGATGTGGGTCCTTGGAATACATCCATGTTGGGTTATGTGGCTGTACATATGATTACACGTTTGCAGAAGATTTTCCTGCTTTTCACCCTTACGGAGTTCTGTTGAGGGAACGCAAAGGGAGGGTGTTCGTGAAGGTTCTGCCTTCTCCACTCTAGCCTGGTGCAGGGTCCTCAAGTGGCTTCCCCATTGGGAGCCTTTGTTCTCACCTGTTCCCTCAGGGCCCACCTTCCCTCCCTCCTCTTGCTTCCAGCCTGGGCCGGCGACTCTTCCTGACCGTGTTGGGGAAGCCACCGGCGTTCTACAGGAAGGATGCCGGGAGCAGGCTGGGTGTGCAGAGTGATGGGAGAGGAGAGCCTCTGGGTCATTTGCCCATGTTTTCAAAGCCCTGACCCCCTGGACATGACCTGGTACAAAAGGGTACAAATCTGTCCCCAAGCAGAGCAATAGCAGGGGCATCTGGGCAGTGAACAGGAAGCCCAGGGCAGTCCACAGCCCCTGTGTATTTCCTGGGCACTGCCTGGGCCTTAGTTTTCTTGTAGCTGCTACCTATCCAGGCATCTCCCTCCTAGAGAGCCAAAGAGGAACTGGAACATCAGACATGCTACCTGACCTTCCTCTCAAAATTGAAACAGACCTATGGGGATCTCTTCCCCACCTTGGGTGGCTCCCAGACTGGTTTATGCTCTGGGGGCCAAACCTGCTTCCACACTGGGAAGAATGATGAGACCAGTCATGCTTCCCAGGAGCCTGGCCAGGGGAGACCCTTGTGTTTTCCAGAGATCCTTCCTGGATTGCCTTTCCAACACTCCCAGCTGTCTGGGATCAGAGGACTAAAGACCCTGGCTTGGGCTGCTTCTACGTGGACATTGCTCTTCTGGGGACATCAATGGCTCTTGGCTTGAGATGTGTGTGTGTCTTGGAGGCATTTTGTACGTTTGCCTGAGCCCCAGCCACTCTGGGGTTGCTGGAGATGGCGCTTGTCAATGGACACCTCCCCATCCCAACACAACACTCTGCGTCCCAGTCCTGGGCCTGGCTCTGCCCAGCAGCCTACTGAGTGCCTGAAACCCAACCACTCCCTTCTCTTCCATCACACCAGGACTTCTTGAGTCCACGGGCTCCCGTCTTTGTCATGTTCCTTTGTGCCAAGAG